GGTCTCTCGGAAGATAACAACCACAATCTAATGGTAAATGCGAGTCGGTATGGTAAAGCCACTCGGGAGATAACTATGGGACATACGATCTTTTGATACCCGAGAGCCCGTGTGAAGAACGTCGGGACTTCGAGCCGCTCAGACTACTGAGCGAGTAACGCCAGCGGCGTTTAGTCAGACGCGACGTCACCGCGACGCGCGTAGTAATATCCGCGCCTAAAAGAAGGGCGGATCACGCGAATTGATTGAAGATTGAGTTTATTGGCTGATCAAGGACGGCCATCCTTTAGTTTTCCGAGGGAGGAACGTTGCTACCCGGCACGTCCGGAAGTTTCGCGCCTTGCTCGGGGTCATTTGTCTCTCGGACGCGAAACGAGCAAGACAAAGTCCCGGCCGCGTGATAAAACCGCCGTCGTTAATTAATTAAGTACGCGATACGCAATACGCGACGCGAATAATTCCGCGAGAAACGCGAAGACTCGTTGAGGTGATTAATAATACGAGTCGGGTTCACCATAATCCAGTAAATCTCGTCAATTCCGACAGCCGTAGATAGCAACAATTGCTGAGCGTCGGATTTATTTGTCCGGAAGCGAATTTCTTTTATCGCGAACGATATCGTCGAGTCCGCTTGAGTAATCGTGGTTCCGATTTCGTTTGCACACCGTCGTGAATTACTTGTAACGCGCGTGGTCCGCGAAACGCGTCGCGTTTGTAATTCCGACATCTTCGTATGAATGCAGAGCGAGTGAACGAGTGCACGTATACCTTATGATCGTTTATAATAAACATTATTTGATAAATTAAAAGCGCGTTCACCCGATTAATTGTTCCTGCTTCGTACCTGCATGCCTTGCGCATCACATACATCGCTTTCCGAGGAAAACAGGAAGACGTAAGACCGAGCAGCGTATCCGAAGGAAGGACGTCCGACGGCAGCTTCCAGAGAAATACCTTCCTTGTTCCTGAGGTCAAACAAGGTGGCGACCGAAAAAGTAAGATAATTCTGTTAAAAACATACACGGTTTATTAATTGGTAAAGTCGGTACTCGCCTGTTAAAGTTTTGAGCAGCAAAGTAAAGTAAAATTTGCAAGAATCACGAAAAGACGA